CCCCGTGCGCTTCGACCCCGTTCGGAAAACCCCCCAGGATCTAGCTGCTCGCGGGCGCGCTCTCCAAGGGAATGACGCCCGCGTTTGCGAGCGGCGCTCTGGTCGCCATCGGAGACCGCGCGCAGCTGCGCACGCCCATAGCGGCCGCGTCCGACGAGGACGCCGCGCGCCGCGCGGCCCGCCGCGCATCCCAGCGGATGCGCGCCGCTGACAAGCGAGTCCTTGACGAGAGCCGCAAGTCCAAGCGGGCGCGTTGAGGCCTTGCCGCGGTTGGCTGTCCTCGCCACGATGCAGGGAGGTGCCGCGAAAGACGCAGGGCCGACAGGCGAGGTAGGTAGATGCGCGCACCTGTGAATTGTCCCCGCCGAAGTTCGGAGCACCTGCAGCGCGCCCGCCGCGCATCCATCTCCTCTGCGGAGGGCCCAGCACTTTTGACGCCTGTTTGCTTCCCTGCGCATGCAATCATCACCATCGCCATTCTCTCGGTGCGCCTCCTCTTTTCCCTCGAAGTCAGAATTCAGGAAGCCGTGCGAATTCGAATATTTCCCCGTGTGAACTCGGAGGAGTCATTAAATACACATCGGAAACCTACAAAAACCGCAACCATCGGCGACCAGGTCAGAGCGGAAACCGGCCCGAACGAATGGTTTGATCACATAAACCATGAGAAAATAGTTGCCATTGCATACTCAGGCGGTTTCGCACGGGGAAACGTTTGGTTTTGAAAGTAATGAAGATATACCCTCAATGGGGGTACGACCAAATACGAGGGGGGCGGGCATCGAGGATTTGTGATATATGCGTTTGGTGCCACGCGCGCGTATAAGAGCGAACAGTCTTTAAATAAGGGTTATCCTTGTTGTCGTTCTCGTCGTCGTCGTCGCTCCGCGACCCCCTCGCGATATGCCCGCGACCCGCCCGCGTCGCACCCGCGACCCACCTCGCCCGTGAACCACCCGCGAGCTCGCCCGCCCCCTCACTGTTATCCGCAATTGCTGTGCGCCAGGTATGCATGTACCTGTGCGTGTACCTTTACATGTGTATCCGGCTCTCGATGCATAAGCGTGTATATGCGTACGTATGTGTGTACATGTGGATGTGTGTACGGGTCACTTGCAGCACGCATGCCCATGTGCACGTTTCGTTGCACGTGTGTGGTTGAATGTATGTTAAGACGCATGCCGGCATTTCGATGCGTGATTATGTGTGCACGTGCACGTGCCAAGTAGACGTCAGGCGTATGCGTGTGTCGATACATATGCATACGTGTTTTCATTCATTCATGCATGCATGCGTGCGGGACCACTTATGTACACGTGCAAGCCCAAGTTGACATGCATTATCATCTCATATTCAGGACATACATGCGAATACATGGATGAGCATGCGGGTATGTATGTGTAAGGGAATGCTCGTATGTATGCGGTTGATTGCAACTGTATTCATTGTGTGCTTGTACGTACATACAGGTGCATACTCACATATGAATATTCACATATATATATATATGCATGTATATGTATGTATTTTTATAGATATGAACACAATTGTATATATATATATATGTACATATATATACATATGCGCAAATGCAAATATGCATATACACATGATGATATCTGTATGCTGGGCCGTGCATGCTCCTGCAGCGTGCGTGCACGCTTACACGAACGTTTGCACAGTGCGTATGTATGATGTGTGAGCTCTTCGTGCAACGTTGCATGCTTGCATATAAACTTCAATTCCACATGCATGCGCGTACGCATGTACAGACGTTGTTTCTGACGTGGATATATGTATTGATATGTACGCGTGTGTGTGTAATTGTATAGGTACACATACACATGCTTGTTTAAGTGTGTATGCGTTGTTTTGCGTTTCCGGATGCATGCGCAAATCTAGAAATGCGTTTTCATACTTGAGTATCTCTTTGCATACACAACCATACATGAATCTATACACAGATGCACACATGCGTGTTTGCATATATACTGGCTTGTATACATATTGAATAATTGTTGTATTGTATGCGCACGTATAAACTGATACATACTAGACATGACGGTACACACACTTATCTGTTCATTGTGTACACATACACACATCATTTACACATATTCATACGCATGTCTCTTTAATTATGTAAAAGCGAATGCATTTTTTACCATGTTTACACGTACCTATTGTATAATATTGCTGTATAGCCAAATGATAACATATACATAGTATACCAACATGTGCGCACATGCGTGTACGCATTGTACATCCATCCAATCACATTCAAGTGCACGCATAACCATATGCATGTTTTTTTTCATCGGATATATGAATACACATCTGTGTATTTTCTATATTGTACACGTGTATATGACATATATGTGTGTGTCTATGTAAATGTATTATATATGTATATATGTGTGTATGCAAGCTTACTTATATGTACGAAAATGCATGCACTTGTATGTTATGCTTACGTATACACACATTATTATATACAAAACACATACAAATTGTATGATTGTATACACCCACCGTCAAATGGTACCAAATTCAGCACCTTACCCCCTCGCCCCCCCGCCGACCCAAATAGTCTCGCCCCGAGATAATCAACCCTGGCAGGGGTGACGGGGCGTGCGGTTCAAAGGACGAGGGCGGGAGGAGGAGTGCGGCGGAATGTGAGAGCCAGCCGTGAAGAGCAGAAGCGGCGGGAGCAGGCGAAAGAAGCCGTTGCACAGTTTAGCAGTGCAGCTCCGGGCCTCAGTGGGCCCTGGCAGCGACGGAACCCTAGCATGCTGTCGAGGTCAACTCGAGGATGTCGGCGACATGAGACAGACGTGCGGGCGGGGAGAAGGGAGGGGGGAGGCAAGGGAGGGAGGGGGAGGGGGGGAGCAGGAGGAGCAGGAGGAGCAGGACGAGGAGGAGGAAGAGGAGGAGGAGGATGAAGATGATGATACTGATGATGATGTTGATGATGGTGATGATGGAGATGGTGATGATGATGGTGATGAGGATGAGGATGAGGATGGTGATGGAATGGGATGATGAGGCTGAGGATGAGGATGACGATGAGGAGGCTGAGGAGGGATGACGGCGGAGGATGAGGACGAGATGAGGATGATGATGGCGACGACGACGACGATGATGATGTGATGATGATGCTGCTGATGAGCTTTATGATGATGATGCTGATGCTGATGGTGATGCAGATGCTGACATGGATGATGATTTGATGATGGTGATGACGATGATGATGAGATGATGATGATGATGATGATGATGATGATGATGATGTGATGATGATGATGATGATGATGATGATGATAATGAGGAGGAGGAGGAGGAGGAGGGACGAGGAGGAGGAGGAGGGGGGGAGGGGAGGAGGATGAGGAGGAGGAGGAGGAGGAGCATTAGGAGGAGGAGGCGGATGAGAGGATAAGGAGGATGATGATGATGACGATGAGGAGGAGGAGGAGGAGGAGGAGGAGGAGGAGGAGGAGGAGGGGGAGGGGAGGGGGACAAGTTAGGTGCGCTCGCGTCAACATCTGACATCCTACCCCTCCCTCCCATCCCTTACCATGGCGCTGATTTTCTCTATCCGCGGACGCGTGTCGTAGCGGACCTGTGGCTCCGCGCGCGTGTGCGTAGTGGGTGGTGGTGCGCGTGCGTGCGTGGTGTGTGCGTGGTTGTGGTTGTTGTGGTGGTGTGTATCTGTGTATGTGTGTGTGCGTGTGTGAGCGTGTGCTGTGGTGTGACGTGCTGTGGCGTCTTGGTGGTTTGGTGGTGGGCCAGGTGCGTACGTGCGTGATGGCGGTGGTGGTGGTGGTGGCGGTGGTGTGTGTGTGTGTCTGTGTGTGTGTGTGCGTGTGTGTGTGTGCGTGTGTATGTGTGTGCGTGCGTGCGTGTGTGTCTGTGTGTGCGCGCGTGTGATGTGGTGTGACGCGGTGTAGCGTGGTGGTGGTGGGTGGGGTAGTGCGGTGGTGGTGGCGGTGCGCGGTGGTGGTGCGCGTGCGTGCGTGCGTGCGTTGGTGGGTGGAAGTGGCGGTGGGTGTGCGTGCGGCGGGGCGGGGCGTGGTGCGGCGCGGTGGTGGCGGGCGGATGGGCGCGCGAGAAAGAGGCCCGCGCTGGGGCGAGAACGCCATCCTGAACGACGGAGGCAAAACACCGATCCGAAAATGAGGCCCACGCTGCAGCGGGAGCACGATTCGGAACGATTCGGGAGCAGAAATGAGGCCGGCGCCTCATCGAGAGCAGCATTTTGGGAAAAAAACGAAAACCCAACTCCCGGGAATCCTGTGTGTAAAAAAACAGTACGCAGGGGGGGGGTCGAATATTCCCAGGCCGCCATCAGGGGAAGAGGGAGAGTAGTAGTATTCAGATTGAGTAATTGTAGAGGTGGTGGAGCATTACATGAAGGGACAAGGGATCAGTCGGAGAAAAGAGGAGGGATGGGGGACGAAAGAGAGCAGAAAAGCGAGAAGAGGAAGGACGGTGGAGGGAGGAGCTGCATCAGGATTATGATGATGAGGATGAGGAGGAAGCGGTGGAATATCAAATGAAGGGACAAAGGGATCGGTCGAAGAAGAGAGGCGGGACGGGGGAGGAGAGAAAGAGACAGAGAGAGAGCAGAGAAGCGAGAGGAGAAAGAGAGGATGGAGGAGCGGCGGGGGGGATTCAGAGTATTGGCGGGTGAGGAGGGGGATGGTGGATTACAGGCGGACAGAGGTATAAGATCGAGGGTGCCCTGATGTTCTTTGCGTCTGTTTGATGTTCTCGTGTATCCTGGGGAGGGTATCCTTGGGTGTTCAGTGTGTTTTGGCCAGTGGAGGGTCTCATGTTCTTGAGGGATGCTTTCCTGTCCTGGGCCCGACTGTGAGGGGGCACAGGGGAGGATTGAAAAGTGGTGAAGGATCAGGACGAGGGTGGAGGGAGGGAGCAGATGCGTGGGTGGAGGAAACTCGGGGCTGGGAGATAGAGGAAAGGACACCATCTGCCCTCTGTCGGCAGGCGCAGGCGACGCCGTAGGCGTGGCCAGCGCTGCAGACGCAGCCAGTGCTGCAGATGCAGCCGGCGCTGCAGACGCAGCGGGCGCTGCAGACGCAGCGGGCGCTGCAGACGGCGGCACGGACGGGATCGAGCTCGAGTTTTAGGAGGCTACTCTTCCTTCAGCCTTCTCTTCCACCCGCTGGCCATGGCCGATCTGGTCTGCAGTGTGGAGGAGCTGAGGAGGAAGAGGTACAGGTACCGCTAATTACCCTTTGTTCCGCTTCCCCCTTTCTAGGCCTCCCGGGAGGCCCTCGTCGCCACCGCTGGCTTCGCCTTGACATCTGGGTCAAAATGCACCCCCGGGGAGTGGCGGTATCGGTACCTTTTGGGTTCCCCAGAGGTGATGGGCCTGTTTTCCACCGCCACCACCACAAGCTGGAGGGGGTAAGAAGGTGGAGGATGAGGAGCGACGCTACGGGGCTTGACCCCTTATGGCGCGGGAAATAACGGGAAAATGGCGGGAGGATGAGGAGGAAGGAGAAGAGGGGAAGGAGGACCCCTTCCCCCCTCCAACCTATGGTGGTGGTGGTGGAAAACGGGCCCGTCAAGAGAAGCTGGTGGATGCGGTGTCGACTAGGCTCGCTAGCCTGCCAGCGCTGCTCTGGAGTGATTGTCGGAGCTCCGCGCGGAATGCTCTGGTCGTTGCCTGGCCCCCCTCGTGGCGGCGCCTCCATCGGCGTCCGACGTGTAAGTCGGGCCTGTTCCTCTACAGGGGGGAAATTCAAAAATAGTAAAAACACAGTACGGGGACGATGTTTCGACTATGTTTGGCAGTTTTTGAAGTTATGTTTTGGCTCTGTCTTATTCTTCGTCCAAAATGCCCCTGTAGGGGGACAGGCCCGACCTAACCCGATGTCGCGCTCCGCGCCCTAGGGAGGGGGATCCAGCGCCGATCCAAGGGACCCGTCGCAGGCGATGTTTCTCTCCCACCCCCCCCGTCAAGCGGTGGCGAGGCGTCCCGGCCTGCCTATAGGCCAAGCAGGAATGCTACGAGAACCTGCCGTGGTCTGCACGACATGTTCTAAGAACATGTCTGGCCGAGGCTGTCTTGTTTCAACACATCTCGGCCTTATGTCTAAGAACATCGCTTCTAGTCTGTTCTGAGGACATGATTGGGTTATGACAACATTTCGGGGTAGGCCTACATGTAAGTCGGGCCTGTCCCTCTACAGGAGGAATATTTAAAAATAGTAAAAAATAGTCCCGGGAAAATGTTTGAACCATTTTTGATTATTTTTGAATGTGTTTGGAATATTTGTTCTATCGTCCAAAATCCGCGTTGAGGGGGACACGGGCGACCTCAGCCTGATACTTCCTCAAAGCGACGACGCCCCAAAGTGGGGGGGCGGCCTTCAGCGGACCCTAAAATCAAAGAATGGGCACCAGATGTGTAGTCGCTTCCGATGTGTTTTCGGGGGGGCGTTTTTTGTATGTGGGCCTATTTGAAAGGACGGGAAACGCCCGCGCTGCAGCGGCAACACGATTTGTAACGACCAGAATTCGGAACGAGCGGTAGCGCGGAAATGAGGCCAACGCTGCAGCGGGAGCATGACCCAGAACGATCGGAATCGCGGAAATGAGGCCAGCGCTGCAGCGGGAGCGCGACTCGGAACGAGCGGAGACCCGAAAATGAGGCCAGCGCGTCAGTGGGAGCAACATTTGAAAAAAAACAAAGATTCAAGCGAAAACCCGTTTCCA